TTTTTTTTTTTTTGTTTATTTGTGTATCGTTGCATAGGTGTCAAATGATGTGTTAGCACTGATTGGCCCAGGTGATTCCAAATTGTGGTGGGGTCAATCAGAGTATACTTTGGTGAGAATTAATGCAATAGATGCCGGGTGACTGCGAATGTATCTGTAGAATGATTCGGAGTCCTAGCGACTGATTTTCTGTATCAGTACGAGTTGCACACCACGCATGACAAGTTCTGTGGTTCCACCTACTCGAAAGCTATGTCCTGCTAGGTTCTCGTCTGGGAGTAGTTGCTTGAGTCTTGTGATGAACCAGCGTTTGGTAGCCCATGTACTGTCACTTTTGGCGAACAGTAGGTTGCTGTTGTTGGCGTACGATCCTTGTATACGGATATTCATGTATGTCTTCAATATGCATACAGGGCACAGAGAATTATTAGTTGGGTGTATGATAAGTGATGTATGATTGGTGGACTTGTGTTTTTTGGTTCGTGGTAGTTGGATTGTTGCGAAGGTATTGTTTCCAGATAACTCGAACTTTAGTGCGGCCATGGTTGAAACCTTGATTTCATCTGATTGGTTGTTTGGTAGGAGCTCCCCTAGTCATGCAAGACCGTAAAAGGCTGACAAAGTGATGGTCCAGAATAGGGTATCTATATTGTTGTTTGTATTCAGTTGTTGTTGAATTTGTAGCAGGTGTTGACAGGTAATGTGAGATTTTTGATTAATAGGCTTGTGAGTGTGTGTAGCTTCGATGGTTTTCAGAAGTTGCAACACTAGAAGGTTAGAACAAATGGGGCTCCAGTCATAGTGGTATCTTGAGTGATGATATTTAAGGGCCAAGAGGTAAGTCATGATAGTAGAGGGTGTGACAGTCTTGTGGAGCAAAGTTATGTAATTTATCAAGGAGTCTTGTGATACTGGCCATACGGTTCTGTCATGGTTGGTCCATTGATTGGCTGTGGCGAGGGTTTCATATCGTTAGATTATAGCTTCGTATACTTTGTTGTGAGGTTGTTTTATGTTGAGAAGTTGTGCAGCTTGGGCATCTAGTGATAAATTTGTACCAAAATATTGGGGGTTGGTGCTACGAGGATGAGAAACTGTGAATTTGGGTTGTTTTGTTGGTGTGTTGCCTATTGTTTTAAGGATGGAATAGGAGAGATTAATTCTTTGTATAGGTTGGGAATGTTGGGGTTAAGGTAGCATGCACTAGAGTTGTGAGCAATGAATTCTTGGTGGCCGTTACAGGACAATAAGTCTGCATCTAGATTGTAGATACCAGGAATGTGTTCGAGTTTTATGGCGAAATTGCCATACACTTGTATGGTGTAAAGCTGACCAATCAGGTCGTTAATTCTGGAGTTTTTGCAATACCCAGCATAGTACGCCTCGGCATTAAATAGGTTGTTTGTCCATATTATAAGCTTTTTCCGTTGCCATAATGGAGCAAAGGTACGTGCTGCGATTAACGTAGTCAGTAGTTCTCTGGCTTGAATGTTCATTGAGTTCAGATCAATGTTGTTCGACCAGGAGAAAGCTGTGAAATAGTTCTGAAACATGGCCCCCCACCGATGTTTGACGCGTCTGTAAAAAGATTGAGGGTGGATGGTTGTGTCCATTCTGTATCCTGTAGTAAATGAATACCATGCCATTCTTTGAGTGCTGAGATCCACCACTGAAGGTCTGATTGCATCGGTTTGGTTATTCGAAAGTGGAATTTTGGATTCTTTGAAATCTTCTGAGCTTTGATAAAGCATTGAATAAAGGGACAGCCTTGTGGGATGACCTGACATGCCCAGA